ATTATCCAAAACCACCTAGAACAGTACATTGACAAAGAACTGCCAGAAATTCAAGTCAAATTTTGAAGAGGCAGTGGTATTATATCATTGCTGATATCAGATGAGTCACGGCTGAATGCAGAGAAGCCAAAAGAAGATCTATGTTTTCTTGACTATGCAAAGACGTTTATGTGGATCATAACAAACCATGGCTAACATTGAGAATTCCAGACAGCTTATGGTTACACGAAATCTAAAGAAGCTGTTGTCAAGACAAACCTAGGGAACACTGCATGGTTTGGAATCAAGATAGGTGTGCATCACGGCTGTATTCTTTTTCTATACCTATTCAGTCTTTGTGTTGAGTCAGTCTTAATGTGGAATCAGGATTGGAAGAAGACTTATCAACGGCCTGTGTTACGCAGATAACACAGTCTTGCTTGCTGAAGGGAAACAGGACCTGAGGTACTTGTTGCAGAAGATCAAGGACTATAACCTTCCACATGGATTACATCTCAATGTCAGGAGGAAAAAATCCTTACCACTGGGCCAATAGAGAAAAGGCTGAAATTGTCAAGAATTTCATCTTGTTTGGATCCATAGTCAACACCCTTGATACCAGCACTTAGGAGATAAGAGATTAGGAGATGAGATCCAGCGCTGAGAAAGTCAGCTGTCAGGGACATACCCAAAGTTCTGAAGAGCAGTGATGTCAGTCACTGATTTAAGCCATGGTGTTTTCAGTCCCTTTGTGTGTGAGAGCTGTACAGTGAATAAGAATGACGGAAAAAGAATCAATGCCTTTGAACTGTGGTGTTGTAGAAGAGTATTGAATATCCTATGGACTGCCAAAAATACAAATGGATATGTCTTCAAGAAGGTGAAGCCAGAGTGCTTCTTAGAGGCAAGGATGGCAAAGCTTCTCATATACTTTGGGCATGTTGCTAGGAGAGGCTATTCCTTGGGAAGGAGCTCATGCTTGGAAAGGCAAAAGAGAGGAAGACCCTCAGTGAGGTGGATTTAACACAGTGACTGCAGCACTCAGCTCAAGCCTGTCAGAGATGGTGAGGATGGCACAGGATAGGACAGAGTTCAGATCTGTTATTCATGGGGTCACTATGAGTCATACGGCACATATCAATGGTAACAATATGAAGAATAGAAGGGAGATGGAATTAGTTAACAGCATTAGCATTATACTGTGGAGAGTGAAAGCACATAGTTTTCCAGTTAAGATTTTGATGGCAGCTGAAAGTGAAGTAGCCAAAGACAAACAACTAGGGGGAGAATGAGTTGAATGATTGCAAAAACTTTTTAAAGTAGATGGATGCAGACTGGACATTTCTTTTGTCTCCCTTCTGGAAACAGCCTTGTTATATCAAGTTGCAACTCAAGGAACACTGAAAAGTCATTTTAACGTCTCAGTAATTTTTATGTGAAGTTATTTGAATGCCTTTTTCTTTATTTTAGAATCTCCCTCCTTCTGTTGTGGCTACTGTTGGTGGTAAAATTTTCACATTTGGGTCCTATAGACTTGGAGTGCACACTAAAGGTAAGTTAAAAGTGCTTTTCCATGTTCTAGTGATAAGGACTTTCAAAAACAACCCTATTTTTATAATTAAAAGAGAATTTGGAAAAGAAGAAAATTTCCATGATTTTAGTACTCACCAATAGTCATTGTTATTTTTTTCAATACTTTTTGTGTGTATATATACTTTAGCAAAAATACAAAAACAAACTTAATACACTTTAAGAAGGCATACGTCATATACTCTTCTTGATAAGAAATAACTTTGATTTGCAGGAGCTGACATTGATGCACTTTGTGTAGCTCCAAGACACGTGGAGAGATCTGATTTTTTTCAGTCATTTTTTGAAAAATTGAAACATCAAGATGGCATTAGAAACTTAAGGGCAAGTATCCCCTGGTATTTAATGTGTTGAACTAAGAAATGACTATAAAAGCTTACAGTTATTATCATAAAAGCTTATGATTCCTGAAATATCTACATTGCTATTTCCTGTTGAGATAATATATAGAACATGGGCATTACAGTTCTGGAACAATCATGTCTTCTCTAATAATCTATTGATTTCTCACTGGTCAGTTTTCAAGTTAAGCTCACAAGATACTGAGTATCTGAGTTTGAATCAGCAGTCTGTTTGATACATAGATTAACTCTGACTTGATCAAAGGAAAGTGAGAAAAAACTTCTCTATAAGGTTTTCCTGAGAATTGGTGAGATAATGTGCATAGAGAATTTATTACATGTAAAGTTCTGTTTTCACTCTTCAAGGCTAAGCATTCCTTTCAGCAACTTGAAACATGAACACCAGTAACATCAGATATTGACTTTAGTCCCACAAATAGAAACACAAGTGAACAAAACATTGACTGAGGTTGAGGCACTAATGGGGGAAATGAAATAAACAGCATTTTTTACTGAAATCTCTGGTGTTGAGGGTAAGATAAAGCATAAAAGTGCTTTCAGAGATGGCATTTCAAAATGTTTCAAAGATTTGGTTAGGGAATTAAAGAAAACTCAGAAAGACATTTCTACTAAATTAAGTCAAACGCTAATGATCCTATCAGTCTGATTCTTGTTCAGTTTCTACTATTAACAACAAACAAACATGCTTTTGCAAAATAATCGGTATTTGAGGTTAGAGCTCACAAAATAGTAAGACCCAAATGAGAGCAGTTCTGCCTTAAGGTTCTGATGGATTGATTGTCTTACGAGGTACCTTACAAATTAGCATTGTGTGACTCTTCAGTAACAAAAGTCACGAGATAGAAGTACATATATAGAATATAAGACTCTGAACATACTTTTCTTGTTTTTTAGAATATACATTGGGAGCAAAGATACTCAGATTATTCTTGATTAGAAAGGACAAAAGAGGAATTATTCCTATTTGTTATAGTTGTTTTCCTCTCTTGCAGGCTGTTGAAGATGCCTTTGTACCTGTCATAAAATTTGAATTTGATGGTATTGAAGTAAGTTTTAGTTGAATTTTTTTAATCTATTTTTTAATTTATTTTGTTAGATTTTTTTGTTTCTTTTTGTGACTCAGACTTACGTAGGCAGGTAGTTAAGGACTAAAATAGTCCTTCACCACCTTCTCTCATCTCTCTTGACTTTTCACAAATAGTTGGAAAATGAACCTACCACCATGATCCTTCTAGACATATCCTTCTCATTTGCCCAAGTCTTCTGTGATAATTATATCATACTGTGATTTTTGCTAGAGCAGTACTCAGCATTTGCATTATGATATTATACATTGCTTTCAAAGCAGAGGATGATATAGACTAGATTACCTTTCCTGTGTGACATTTTCTTAAGTGTCGGTTTCATTCTTGTAAGTAATTCAAATTCAGTTTTTGTCAGTTGAGTTTAGATTAAATATATTATTCTCATCTTAAAATAATAGATCACTGAGTCCTCGTCTATATTCTAATTCAAGAAGATTGTTCTTCGTGGCATATAGGTGTTGTCTGGCCTCTTCCTTTTCTGTATTCCTAGTCAGCTAATCTCTTTTGCTTTTCTAGAATTATTCTTTTCTCTTGCTTTATTCTTTTAGTGGAGTCCCAAAGAAAGTGTAACATTTTGTGAACTTGTGTGTATTAAAATATTTCTTTCCTCACACAGACTTGAATATGAAGTTCTAGTTAGGAAATAATTTTTTCTTTGCAGTCTTGAAGGTCTTGATTCCTTTGATTGTTTTGCTGTGCCAAGAAGAGGAATGCCATTTTGATCCTCATCTTTAGTGTGTGACCTGCTTTCTCTCCCTGGAAGCTTAGGATTTTTTTTTCTTTCCTCTCTTTTTAAGTCTTCATAGTTATAAATCGATGATAACATTCTTTTGGCAGTGGGTCTTTTAACTGATAGACAAACTAGACACACTTAGACCTTCTCAGACTGTTTTCTCAACTTCCTCGTTTGAATGTTAGACTAGTCCTTTTTTTTTTTCTTTCTCTTCACTTTAACTGTGTCATCAGGTCTTTTTATTATGCTTTTGGGATTTTCTCTTCCAAATGTTTTATTCCTCATTTCTGTTATCATAATTTTTATTTCAGATTGTCTGACTGTCTCTATTTATTGATAATGTATTTATTTATACCCTCCTGCCCTTCTTTTTGGGATGAAGCGTTTTGTATCTACTAGATCTTCAGATCTACTGGGTGTTTTTACCACTGCTTTTTAACTTTCATAATTTTGTCACAAATCACAGGATTGCGTGATTTGGTGGGTGGTGGAAAATGTTAAAGGAAATGGGAAACATCCACCAGAGACCTGAAAAGACAGGATAATGTTGGGAAAAATTCAATTGGGATTTTTTTAAAACACAATGTTTGAGAATGATTGTATGAAAGACAAGGTATATGAATTTTGTCTTCAAACAATATAAAATAATTTCTTTTAAAAAAACAAAGCTAAATAAAAAAAAAAAAGATTGTTTCTGCTACTTTAGTGGGAATTTAAGGACAAATTGAACATAAATGTGTGTTGAACCTGCCATCTTCATTTAGAAATCCACCTGTGAGCTTTTTCTGTATTTTCCATGTTTGGTGTATATTCTGAAATAAAGATACTTTCCCTTCATTTGAAAGTTACTTACCTTGGCAAAATGTAGCAGTGGTTTTCCTGTATGAATTAACTTCATTGTTTTGACCTTGATGTTTTGGAAGACCTTCTCAAACTGATAGAACTTTATGCATTTTGAGATGGAAGAGAATGGAGTGGAAGAAAGAAAAGTAATATATATTTCTTTTTTTTGTATCTTTCTGAAGATCGATCTTGTCTTTGCAAGACTGGCTATCCAAACCATATCAGATAACTTAGATCTAAGAGACGATTCTCGCCTCAGAAGCCTTGACATACGGTGTATTCGCAGCTTAAATGGTAAGCATCTGAGAAAAAAAATCCCTGACACTTGCTTTGAAAACTATTGGCCAGATTTTTTTTTCCTTCTCTCAGAAGGGTATCTCTGATAAACTCAGTTTAAAATAATGATCTCATTCTCTGTATCCCAATAAGTTATTTGGATCTCCCAAGTGTTACCATCTTTCCTTATATGGTATCTTTATCTGGTGTCCCTGAAGGCTCACGTCTTCCCAGAGGTACTTCGGAAGAAAGACCTGGCAATCTACTTCCAAAACAATTGAGCCATTGGAAACACCATGGAGCGCATTTCAACTCAGATCCACGTGGGGTCACCATGAGTCAGCATCGATTCAGTGGCGCCTGATTTGACTGAATTATTTTCATGTGGATAATTTGACCACATTCAAGCAGCATTTTAGAACCACATTTATTTGAAAGGTTATTTATGTTTATAGTGTTGGGGTGTATAGGGAAATTAGAACCAACCCATAGCTGCCCCTCTGGCACGTTTTCAGAGGCAGTACACCTCAAGTGGAGGAGATTACCCATCCTTCTCTGCAGAGCTGTTGGTGGATTTGAACAGCATGCCTTTGGGATTGCAGTGCAGCTTTTTCTCATTACGCCACCAGAGCTCCCTATGTTTATAGTGGTGGTTTTCTAACTTACTGGTGTCAGGACCCCATTATTCTCATAAAACATATTGAGGGACTCCTTAGACCTTTTGTTTATGTGGATTGTGTCAATATTTTTAACCAGTTTTATTTGCCAGTTCATTTTGACATAATCCATTTTGTATTTTTGTGTGTGAGAAGAATGGCATCTTTTTCCTTTTTGTAAGTCCTTAATGTTTGACTTAATAAAGTTCCATTGTACTCTCATGTCTGGTTCTGTAGTCTCTTGTAATAATATATATTGACGATTTTGGTTGAAGTATAGACAAAGTTTGGCTACTGTAGGAGGGAAAAGCTTTTTTTGATAATTGTGGGTAATTTTCTTGATACTGCACTAGAATTTGGTCAGTGGCATGCTTTCAAACAGCTTTATTGTGGTGTAACTATATAGAATATTCACCCATTCTAACTGTGCATTCCAGTGGGTTTTAGTATTTTCACTGTTGTACAGTGATTGTTATTATCCTTTTTAGGAACTGCCCAAAGATCCCAGATCCCTATTGGCAGTCATTTCTCCCCCTCTCCTACCCTGACACCCAGCAACCACTAATCTCCTTTATGTCTCTGGATTTGCCAGTCCTGAACATGTCATACCTGTCTTTTGTGGCTGGCTCCTTTTCACTTAGACTTTGTGAGTCTGCCTGTGTTTATAGCCCGTATCAGCAGTTCATGCCTTTTTATTGCTGAATAACAAAGTAATAATTTCTTAACAGTTAGCTAGAATATGGAATCTGAAACAATATCAATGCATGTTTTGTATTCCTTTTATTAAAACCCATTGGTCTGTTTTGTTTTTTTGAATGAATTCTTTACTGTTTTGTGCTACTCTGCCTTGATAATTTAGAAAATAGTGTTTCACCAAGTTATTTGTGATACAAACAGTTATGCACTCAACTACTAGCTGAAAGGTTGAAACCTGCCCAGTTGGCTCCATGGGAAAAAGACCTGCTTTCATAAAGATCACACCCGGAAAACCCTATGCGAAGTTCTGCTTTCACATGGGGTAACTATGATTTAACATTTACTCAACAGCACCCAGTCCTTAACAGCTCTTCCAAGTGCCAGCACATTTCATTTTAGATGGGGTTGGTTTGTTTGGGTTTTTGTTTTTTGGTGTTTTGGTTTTTTTTTTATTACACTATCATCAGTTTCTTCAGAAAAGGCTTCATTATTAGGAAGTTGTCAAACTCACAGTGTTAGATAAGGATTTAAAATTTTTAATTTTTCATTTAAAGATTACATTTAGAGACTTCTGGAATTTTTGCTTGAAAGATTGGCATTGGCTACAGGCAAGAAATTCTGTCATTCCTTTCCTTTGAATTGATGGGCTTACATTTAGGAAATTCTGCTGAGGACCTAAGTATATCTTAACTGTGCAGCCATTCTATAAATAAAACAGGTATCTCTTGAGAAGAGTAGCTAGCTCCAGTTAATATTCAGACAATCACACAGCTTCTTTATCTCAGGATATTTAAAATAATTTTTTAAATTCTCAAATCAGCGTGTGACTCTGAAGACTATTGTCACCTGTGCTTCCATTGCCTGGATTCACTGTTGGTGAATGGCTTGATCCCCCATTGCTTTTATTCGATAAGTGGAAATGTGAACAAAGTGAAAAACACAAAGAGGAGGGCGGGATTAATAGAAAAATAGGGTTGACCTCACAGACTCCCAGGGGTCCAAAGACTGTACTTTGAGAACCACTGGTTGATAGTCTTTTATTAACTCCTTGTTCTCTGCTGTACAGTCCTAGTATTTATGGATAAATAAGGTTTGGCTTGCAGCAATAATAGTTTTACAACTTGTAGGTATTTGAGAAACAGTAAAGTCAAAGGACCGCTGGTGGCATAGTATAGGATGTTAAGCTGCCAATGAAAGGGTAGTAGTTCGAATCCACCCACAGCTCCATTGGAGAAAGGTGAGGCCAGTTTACACCTATTAAGATTTAAAGCCTTCGAAATCCAGTGGAGAAGCAGAAGTAAAGTACAGTAAAAAATACTCAAACCCATCTCTCATTTTAATGCTGGATTTAATTACCTATGTACCTTTTAATTCTTAAAAAACAAAGTAGATGTCATTTATATTGTGTCTGACATACGTTTTTGTTGTGTACCATTGAGTCAGAACCAATCCATAGCCGACCCTCTGGCAGGTTTTCAGAGACAGTAAATCACATGGGAGGAATGTGCCATGCTTTTCCCGTGGAGCAGCTGGTGGACTTGAACCACGTGACTTTAGTATGGCAGCATAACTCCTTACCCCTAGGCCCTTAGTCCTCCCCTTTCTCACATAATTAAGTGTTAAATTTCAAGTACATAAAATACTGACCTTTTTAAAAGGTTTCTTATAGTTAGTATTTGAGTGTCTGGAAGTTGCTAGGGCAGTTGAACCAGCTGAGTTCTGCTGCATAATGAAAAATGAAATATTTTGTCTTTCAGGATGTAGAGTCACAGATGAAATTTTACATTTAGTACCAAATAAAGAAACATTTAGGCTCACACTGAGAGCAGTGAAGTTATGGGCAAAACGTAAGTATACCAAGTTTCATAATTTTACATGTATATTATTGCCAACAAGTCGCCTGCAACTCATAGCACCCCTGTCTATGTACTAAAGCTCTGAACCCTGCTCGATTGTAACTTTAAGTTATCAGTAATAAAAGTACTAAGGAAAACTCTCTGAAATTAGTATTTTGTAGGGTTGATTTTTTTGGGGTGTTTTTTTTTGGTAGGTTGTTTTCTTCTTCATTGCTTGCCAAGTGGACCATTAAATAATGCTTTATCACATAATTTAGGGCATTTTAGGATTTTTGACATTTTAGATTTGATGAAGTACTGTAGTACTTTTTTTATCGATTGCTATAAGAAGCAATGTGCTCTACTGTGATAGTACATGAGGAGTTTAGCTGCTGATACAAGTCTATACCTCTGTAGTGGTTTATAACAGTTCTGCAGGAGAAAGAGGAGGGTAGTCTCTTCCTATGCAACTTACAGCCATAGAAACTCATTGGAGGGTCAGTTATGAGTAGACTCTTACTCCATGTCAGTGAATTGATAAATAGTTATATGAGAAATAAGTACTACCAGCGATTTACTTTGTGGTTGTTACTTTGGACTGTCCTGTTTTGATATTTGTGAGTGTTTTAAAAAAATTTTGAGTATTGATGAATGGACTAAAAATTAAAATGTACACTAAGCCCTCTCCTCCTAACTCTTGTTTGGATTTGCATAGGCAGAAAGCAGAGGGCTCCACTTTGTCTTGCTAATGTTACCTTGCTACTACTATTAATAGAATATTCTTTAAAAAACGGGGGGGGGGGCGGTGAGAGAGGTGCAACAATGAATGAATGGAATTCCAAAATCTCTGTAGATGTTCATTGAAATGAAAAATAAATTAAAAAAAAACCAAAACAGCAGTCATTTGTCTGTTCGCTGTACTGAACAGCTTGGAGTTGCTGTGATGCTGAACACTATCCCATAGTCACATTAAATACCATAATGGTTACCTGTTATGTACTGTGGTTGGATGAGCTTCCAGATTGATTCATGTTGGAAAGCAGGGGTGGCATCCACTTCCTAAACTAGGTGCCTCTGGAAACACTACAAACTCTCTCATAAATGTACAGAAAAGATTTTAATCACAGTAAAAAAGTTCAGGTCTTTTGTGCAAAGCTCATTCAAAGTCATGTTCGACTCAACAGCACTTAACCGGTGCTAAATGAGACTAGGTATATCTCAGTGGTGGTTTCATCTATCAGCATAACTAATTATATCTTAGAGGAACATTCTTCCACTTTGCTCATCACTCTTTGTCAATGTGCTATATGAGGTAACCTGGGTTTGCTATGATGCTGAACCTTGTGCCATGGGGATATTAATGGTTTCCCATTGTGGACAGTGTTTGGTGGAGCTCTTAGTTGTAAAACGGGTTGGGAAGCAGGAGTGGCATCCACTTCCTAAACCACGTGCCTCTGGAGATTCTATGAACTTGGAGAAACAAAGATACCTGTGGAAAGACATTAGGTCTTTTGTTCATAGAGTTGCTATATGTGAGTCGATCTCTACTCGATGGCAGTCAGCAGCAACAACTTTGTGGTAATGAATCCCAATTGAGCAAAATTCTGTAGTCCTCAGCTGTATACTTGTTTTTAAAATCTCTGACTGTGATTATACAACTGAAGTTTTATTCTTCTCTACTTGTAGACCCTGCAGAATAATTCCCCTTTTACCTTGCATTTCTCTCAAGTCTAGCTCTTGAAAGGAGATGGGAAATACCAATATGATACTAATGAGGCCAGTTTGGCAGTTGGAGTTGAGGTAGGGATCTGGGTTGCCTGCATTAGAGGCCAGATAGTAAGATGAACTTTGGTGGGATCAAGGCATTTCTCCTCTTCTTTTGCATTTCTACCCACATACACAGAATCAAGGTCTTTAGTATAACAAAATCCCCAGCTGATTCTTGTTAAGCTGTAGAGTGATTCAATATATCTGGAGTGGAACTACATGCTGTCTGCAAGGAGTCAGATTGGAATCAACCAGTTTGAAGCCCTGGGTAGTTACAGCATAAAGCTTGGCCTCCCAATTTCAGTGTTTCATTGCTCACTTCGGCAGCACATATACCAATTTCAGTGTTCCTTTATAGAGGAAAGGAATAATCTGTAGGGGAAAGTCTAAAAATTAAACCGGTTACTCTGTTCCTTTGGGTTCTTATAGTTGACTGGTGCTCTGTTAAACTTCACCAAATTCACATTAGAAAGTTAACCAAACAATTAACAGATATATTTACTTTTTTCTAGGTCGTGGTATCTATTCCAACATGCTAGGATTTCTTGGTGGTGTCTCCTGGGCAATGCTGGTTGCAAGAACTTGTCAGTTATACCCAAATGCAGCAGCTTCAACTTTAGTTCATAAATTCTTTTTAGTTTTTTCCAAGTGGTAAGTACTCATCTGCGTATATTCACTGTTTACTAACTCTGTCTATATGTAAATTTGTGGGGGCAGTGCGATTTAAAAACTCGATGTAGACCTTTTTTAAGTTAAAATGTAAACCATAGGAGATTTGAGGTGGTGATGGCATATCTGGACAGAGCTCTCTCCAGGGCTCTGTGAATGTGGTCTCTTATCTTGTGGAAAGGGAGCTCTGGCAGCTTGGTCCAAAGGGACTGGTGACTCTGATGGTTCAAATCTACCAGCTGTTTATGAGACAAAGAGGAGATGAGAAGTCTCCTGTGCAGTTTACAGCCTCTAAAAAACCCGCAGGTGTGAGATACAAGTCGTTCCGATTCAAAGTTTTTGGCTTTGTGTTGTTGGTGTTGGGTTTTAGTTTGGGTTTTTTCTTTTTTATTCTCAGCTTAGTGCATGTCACAGATCTTGCTGTATATAATGAGTAGATAAATAGTTATCTGTATTTTTCCCTATTGTGTGCCATCAAGTCAGAACTGCCTCATAGCATGTTTTCAGAGATAGTCACTCACATGGGAAGAGATTGCTCATCCTCTGCAGAGTAGCTGGTGGATTCAAACCCATGTGTCTTTGGGATTGCAGTGCAGCTTGTTACCACTGGGCCCCCAGAGCTCCTGTTTAACTATGTAATGAGTAGATGGAATTATTTACCATGTCCTCATCTGTAAGGTGAAGATTAATTGTAATGATAAGCAGTAATGGTAATTGTCACAGAGCTTTGTTACCAGTATTTTCATTACATGTTAGCTGTTGGGGTAAAGCCATGGAAGCAGCTGGGAAGAGAAAGTTTCTAGTGTGAATTAGCTAATGGACAAAACATCTGCCTTCTCAAAGAAGATGAAAGTAGAGACTGTTTTTACACTTTTCTTTGCCCCTCATTTTTTATTAATACCAAGTCGCCTAAATATTTGCTTATTTGAAGGTAGGAACAGAGTCTAATGATGTCCATTTCTATAACGTCAAAAGTAAGGTCTTACGTGCATTAATTTGCTTATGTGTATTAGGGAATGGCCAAATCCTGTGCTCCTCAAACAGCCAGAAGAAAGCAATTTGAATTTGCCAGTCTGGGATCCTCGGGTATGTGACTTACAATGTAATCTCATTAAACCTTTTAGGGAAAGGGCATTTCTGTAGTTCTGGTCAAAAGATAATCTTTGCTTGTCTTTCTTCTCTGTCTGTGTCTGTCTTAGTCCTTTCCCTCCCTCTCCAAGTTTGGGTTTTGTTGTTTGGGTTGGCTTGGGTTTTTAAATACGTAGATCTATGTCTTCGGTCTGACTCAAATGTTATATCGGTAAAAATTGCCCAGGTAAAACTAGAAGAGGGAGAATAACAATCATAATATTAGAATTTGTGGTGAAGAGCTATCCCGCAAGATACAAAGCTGCACTGATCATAAGTGTTGAAAGGATTTCTTTGCCGTGTAAACGAAAGCACCTGGAGAACTTTCACAGTAGCATGATTTTGTCTCCCTTGCATTTTTGTTGGCTTTTTGAGTGAGCAAGGGGCCACGATGTCATCTACTGAAAGGGTACAGAAGGAGGATCAAGAACATTGGTTTTTTTTACAGCTGTGACACTGTTTCCTTGATCTGAAAGACCATTGTGGAGAAGACATAGCTTTTCAGGGGAAAAGGACGTCTGTAAAGATTTCTTCCCCTATTGTCTACGAGGCATACTTAACTGCAGAAATAGATTTAGTTGGCAAGAGGGAATGTACATATATTGCAGAGTTAAGGAAATGTATTACATTTATATTTCATATTCTTCAGACTTTGGGGAAAATGAAATAAGAGATTAGATCACTTATTCTGCTTCTGATTTCACAGGTAAATCCATCAGATAGGTATCATCTCATGCCCATAATCACCCCTGCCTACCCACAACAGAATTCTACATACAATGTGTCCACATCAACTCGATCAGTCATGATAGAAGAATTTAAACAAGGTAAACATGTTGACTCTCTTACCCTTTACATAGTCTCACCAGTGTGTATTTGATAGTAATTTTATTACATACTTATATTGGTAGTTCGAGTATACTTAACAGCCTATTGCTTTGAAAATTCTTTCAAATGTTTCTATTACTTTCAGTAATTATTTTTTTATGGTTAATATGGCTTTAAAGCCAAAAACAGAGCCGTCTTGGTCTGGCTGGAATTGATTTTTGGCTAACCAGCACAGATTTACTTTTGAGGGAGGGAAAAAAGCTTAAGACTATGCTAGAATGACAGGTTTGGGGAGTAGTAGGTGTTGGAGGAGCTGATAGTACCTGGTTCTTTTCTTTTTTTAATTTCTTTCCTTTTTTTTTAATCTTAGGCCTTATCGTCACAGGGGAAATTCTTCAAGGGAAATCTGATTGGTCCAAATTACTTGAGCCACCACATTTTTTTCAGAAGTACAGGTATTTGAAATCTTGCCATTTGTGTGTATGTATGTATTTTAAGGGAGGAAGTAAATTTCAAAGATTGCATTATTTATGTGTGTGTACATAAAAGTGACTGATGTTACTTTTCCTTTTTTCAAATTATAGTATTTTTTTCATAATCTTTATTTCAGGGCAGGTTTAGGAATTATTTTGGTTTTTCATTCATTCATAGTAATTTTTACATTACAACATTAATTACCATTGATTAGCATAATTTATTAGTTTCAGTGTTTAATTAGCCCCTTTTTATATATGCTTTCCCCTTTACCCAAGTTATCTGTTTATATATTTTTTCCCTGCCGTCTTTCCTATACCTATTTAAACTCTCCAAAATTGATTGTATGTAAACCTCATAGCTTTTTATAATCATGATCTTGTACCATTACTCTCTCCCCCCATTGATAAATTCAGCTGTTAATTTTTTTTTTTTTTTAATTTTGTGGGGAAGGTAAAAATAGTAAAGATAGATTTAGTTCTATAATTTCAGGAGTTAGACTTTTGTGAAAAACAAGTGTTTGTAAACCGTGTGTCTCTTGATTGTCAGAGGGCAAGGTCAGGAGCATTGGTGGCAAAAGAACTAATGGTTTTTTCTGCTTTTTGGTTTTTTTCCCCCTCAATTGTTGCTGAAAATTCTCCATAGACACTATATAGTCTTGACAGCCAGCGCATCTACAGAAGAACACCATTTAGAGTGGTAAGGCAACCATTCCCAGATCTATGTCCTGTGTAATCCTAGTAGCGTATGTGGATGGTACTTAATGTTGAAGTGCATGCTTAGCTTCTAAACAGAAGGTTGGAGATTGGCATCTGCAGTTGAAGACTGACACAGTCCGCCCACTGCAAGATTTACAGCCTCGGAAGCCCATGGAGGGCTGCCATCAGTTGGGGTCAGCTCAGCCCCAGTGGGTTTAGCCTTAACAAGTAGCCCTGGTGGCCGAGTGGTTACAGCTTACTGAAAGACACTGCCCACTCCACAGAAATCTTAGGTCCTGGGGAGTCCATGGGCTATTTCTCCCCTTTACGGTGGAATCACAGTCAGTCCTTGAGAGGCGGTGCAATTTTGGTTTTGTCTTAAAACCCCGCAGAGCACAGGTCTACTCTGCATATGAGGGGTTTCTAGGAGTCAGAATTGGCTTGATGAGAAAGGATTTGGATGTTTCCATTTAGAAAATAATTTCTCACTTGCTTCTCCACAATATTAAATGATGTTAGTGATTGTTGTGCATTATCCTGGAGCCATCAGTGTTTCCACAAATACTGTCAAATGTTTCAGCGTTAGGCATGACAAAATAAGGACAAATGTGTCTTCCCCTTTTTTAACGCTTTTCAGAGTTCGATTTAAGCAAGTGAGGTAGCTCAAATGCCTGTGATGTTCAGCCTCTTCTTCCTGTATTCTTCGCCTTTGCTGTCATATTTTCCTTCCCACCACACACATCAGGGTATTTGGAGGGAGAACCTTTTCATTTAGGAACTCGTAGCATAAAAGGCTCTGAAAATTCAAGCTTCCTAAATCAGGCGATATTTTGGAGTTAAGGAGTCATTAGTCCTTTCAGGTGCTTCTAAATCTGCTCCTGTCTCCAGTGCGCAGGAATGCATCCTACAGCATCCATTAGGGCATTTGGCTGTATTCACAGCTACATATGTACCACCATTCATCTGTGGGGCCAGGAGGAGGCACTGGCTCGAGATGGGGCCAGCAGATTGGCTGAGTCACTTCCAGGGCTGTCCTAGCGAGGCTGCGGCTCTGCCCTTTGGCTCCCCACGCCTTTGGGGAGGCACTGATGCTCCATCCCTTGGAGCTTCGAGTTCCAGCAGGCTCACCTGGTCCTCCTGAGAGAGCTGCTCCCTGCACCCGAGGCAGCCAGCAGCAGATACAGGCTTGCATCCCTATGCACTGGGCATTAACAGAGTCAGAGTAGCAGCTTGTACTGCAATTACTTTGATAAATATACGTTGTTGTTTTGTTATTGTTGTTAGGTGCCATTGAGTTGAGTACAATCCTTAGCAACCCTCAAAAGATCTGAACCTCCTCCTGTCCTGCACCATCCCATCCTCACACTTCCTGAACACAAGAGCCCATTGCAGCAGTCACCGTGTCAGTCCATCTAGTTGAGGGTCTTCCTCCCCTTTATCAAGTCCCTCTACCTCCTAGCAATATGTCCAAAGTATGTGAGGCAAAGCCACATCATTCTTACCTCCAAAGGACTCTCCAGCTGCACCATCTCCAAGACATACCTGTTCATTCTCTTGGCCGTCCGTGGGATGTTAAGTGTTCTTATTCAGCACCACAGCTCAAAGGCATCAATTCTTTTTCTGTCTCCCTATTCATTGTCCAGGTCTCAGATGCATAGCAAGTAATCAGAAAGACACACCTTAGTTCTCAAACTGACCTGACTACTCCTCCTTAATTTTATATACACACAAAATGTTTTTCACATAATACTGTAATTGTACAGCATCTAAATCACATGGTATCCTATTTCACAAAAGGTATGAATGTTAAGCTGTACATGCCCATGTCTCCAGTTCCATTGGGTGAAAGCTACCACCAGAGATAGTTTTTGCTTTCATCGGGTCTGATTTTTGGAGAAGTGAAACGAGACAGTACAGTACTTTTGTTTCAAAGAAGTAAGATTTGTTAGTAATTAAAATGACTATGAAAAACAGTCTTTTGACTAAAGCATTTCATTTGTCATCCAGATCAGGGATCAGCAAAGTATAATCTGACTGAATATATTCTTCCCTTCTGTTTTTTAAACTAAAATTTCTATTAAAAGACTGTCATTCTTGTTTATGTACTTGCTGTGGCTTTTTATGGTGCTACATAGCAGAGCTGACAAGTGCCTAAATGGTTACTGTCTAGACTTTTACATAAAAAACTTTCCCAGTCAATCACTTAGAAAGTATTTTGGAGTCATATCAAGTTTTTGTCTGTGCTTGAAATGCACACAATTATAATGTCCAGGCTTTTTCAAATAGTTAAAAAACTATTGTTTATAATTCATAAGGTCGTTATTAAGCTAATATTTGATGTCTGACAAGCAGGTGCATTTTTTTAAGTGAAAATAAGGTTCTGTATTTCTATTCTGTTTGGTCCAATTCCAGGTAATCTCTTTAGAAAATCAGAATTTTTTTATTTTATGCTTTGCAAGCCAATGTTAGCTTTTTTGTTTATAATTTTTAAACATAGACATCAGTCACTCATTACAGATGAGTCAGAACCCACTCCTGGCTCACCTTTCAGTGGGTTTTCAAAGGCTGTAAATCACATGGGAGGAGATTTGCCCATTTTTCTTTGGTAGAGTGGCTGGCTGGGACATTCGATCTGCCCACCTTGGGGTTGACGGGTTAACTTCCTCTCACCAGAACTTCCTCACATAGACGCTGAAGTTAGATTTGAAAATGAAAAGGGATTTGGGACCAAATTAATCAGTAGTTTTTGTTCATGTTCAAGGCATGATTATTTTACAGTCTGTTTGGATTTCTTGAGCAAAGCTTCCAAATACAATATGGACAGAAAAAGACTGTGTTCCATTCTTTCTCTTTTAGGGTTGGATTAGTAGAATCTAAAATCCGTGTACTTGTTGGAAACTTAGAACGGAATGAATATATTACTCTTGCCCATGTAAATCCACAGTCATTTCCAGGAAATAAAGAACATCCTATAGAGTAAGTTAATTATTTTCTTAACATTGTATTTCTTAAATTTTTTTACATGCATTGTTTAGGAGCACTTCCGAGGTTGTTATTTAACAGACATTGATGGAGGTGATACATTCATTATGTTTGAGTCTGAGTGACAGTTTGTTAAAATTGTGTACTCACTGTTGATAACCCTTATACCCCAGTAGAAACATTATACAAACTCAAAATATTTGGGGCACCTTTAAGTACATAATTCAGTGAATTATTTTTCTAAGTTACTTCTTTAGGATAACACATGAAAACTTAGAACTGATCTAATTTCCCTTTTAAGAATTTGGCTATATCACTGAAAACTGTAAATATGCTTAAATAGCAAACTATTTTTAAATAGTGCCTTTTGTAAAATTATAAAAATTAATGGAAGTACTTAAATTTTATCTTACAGCAACAATTACGTATCAATGTGGTTCCTTGGAATAGTTTTCCGCAGGGTGGAAAATGCAGAAAGTGTTAACATAGACTTGACATTCGATATACAATCCTTTACTGATACAGGTAAGACTTTCTCGTCAGAGAGCTGAAGTTCTCAGCCTTGGGCAGTCCCTCATTTTCATGGGTTAGGGTCTGGCTGCCTTTTGTGTATCCATGTAATGCTATATTGCTATTGAAAACCAAAAAGAGATGAGAAGACAGTTTGAAGACATGTGGCAGGGTGCTTTGCCTAAAATATATGACATATAACTGTGCTACTACAAATTATGTAAGTAAAGGGGGAGGACGTTGCATATCCTTCTCCAGAAGGATACATAGCTAAATAGAGAAAATCTGGAAAAACTAGTTGCTTCTCAGTCATGGAATCCTAGTTGTCTTGGAAACAGGGATGAGAAGACTTCACTGGATACTCTTTCTGTTTGTACTATGTAGAATGTATTGTCTGTTTGAAAACACAAGCCACATGATTCTGTGCAAATACACAGCCAGGGTTTATAATTATAGTCATAAAGATGGCTTGCTAACTGTGTTACAGAATCAGAAAGCGCCTTACACTCCTAGTTGCCTATTTGGAAATTTTCTTAATCTAGTTTAGAGTGCATTCATATCGTTATGAGTGTCTTTGGTTTTGTTAATCTGAGTTTTGGATCTTCTTACCCATCCCTCTCATTTATCACACTCGTAGAAGTAGAGGCAGAGAATATGCCTTTTCGAATAGGCATTCCAGATACAGAAAGAGCCTGGAAAAAGAAACAATTTTTTCTTTCCTAGTTTAGACTCAAGTTTTTTAAAAGGCGATAGATGGGAAACTCTGTTTATTAATGTTTCATAAAATGTTCATTTACAGGTGGGGACTCAAGCCTTAGGAGCTTAATATATCACAAACAGTTTAAAATAGTTGTGCAGAAAATGCCTCTAATCTCTGTCTTCAAGGGATTTGTAAACTGGCATTCGCAATTAAAGTTCATTTTAAGTATCACATGTGATTGATTAGAAAAGGACATTATGTTTAGTAGAGAACCAATAGACAGAGAAACACTGAGTGAAATTAATTGATAGAATAACCACAATGGGCTTAAGCAGGTCAAAGGTAACTCATAGCTCATGTCTTTACACAGGAGTCAGTACTTCGCAGCTGATCCGCCAGCAGGTTTTCAGAGGTTCCCATGGGAGGAGATGGCCCCCTTTCTCCTGCCAAGCAGCTGGTGTAACCAGACTACCTGCCTTTAGTTTGGCAGCGCAGCTCTTTACCCTTTAGGCCACCAGGGCTCCCAAATCAAATACTGGGAAAGTCTGCTGTATATCAGACCACCAGGAATTAGAATGCTTCAACCCATCTCATGATTTTTGTGATAAAGTATAACTGACTTTCTTAAAAGATGTGACATGAACAAGTATGAGGGTTCAGAGTTGTGTTTAGTTTGCTTCAAGTGAGGTGTTCAGGGCTACTGAGCCTCGTTGCCCCGGAGGTATAGTAAGAGAGTACTAGGTGATTTCTGAAGTCATGGGCCCTGATGGTGTGAGTTACAGTAGTAGAAGCTGCATGGAGGAGATTGAACTTGAGTTGCATCTTGGAAATTTAAGAATTAGATTTGAGCAAGTAGTTGGGAGAAGATTAATTTTTGGGGAAAGAATAGTAAAGAAAATTTGGAAAAAATTTTTTCTACCATTTTTTATGAAATGTGATCCTGGCCCAGTGTTCAAAGTTGAATAATGAAGGGATGTGCATTTAAAAAAATCTTTGATTCAGAAAGTCTTCTATTAACATAATGCCATTGTTACAGTATACAGACAGGCAAACAATATAAACATGCTAAAGGAGGGAATGAAAATCGAAGCAACACATGTGAAGAGAAAGCAACTCCATCACTACCTTCCGTCAGAGATCCTGCAGAAAAAGAAAAAGGTCAGTTTGTCATTGTTTTAGCTCTACAGTCTAAGTTCATTCTGATGAATTCTGAAAACTCCCAGCCTGTTGAGAAGAAAGGGGTGGGGGAGTGGGAACAGAAAATAAATACGAGACTAAAAAGTTACCTTTATTAAGCACATGACGAATGTGGATGTGCATATATGTACTTCACAGTTGAGAGCATCTTCTAGTCTCATTCACTCTTGAAATCCTTTCTTGCAGCAAAGTCTTTCTGATGTCAGTCGGAGTTTGGGTGGACTGCAGTCCAAACGACCGTCTCTGGATGGCAGCTGCTTGGACAGCTCTAGAGACACAGATAGTGGAACACCTTTTACGTCCCCAGGTTCTGCACTCAAGCCTTCCAAGCCAGACAGCCCTCCTCGCTTAGAAACAGAAAGGTGTGTTCTCCAGAGTTGTCTTTTCCGTCTTCACTTTGAGGGTGATGTGAACTTTTCTCTACTACTGTGAAATGTTTTCTCACCTATTAGAAGGTTTTGCCGCCTGTTGGTTTCTTACATAGAGACACTTGATAGTTTGTTAATCCTTTCAGAGGCATTGTAGGCTGCTTGGAAGTACTCAGAGATGCACAGAGTTTTGGTTTAAATTTTTAAAGTTTCATTCTCACTGGATCTTTTGCCTTTTAACAGGAACAGTGCAAAGCCTGGTTCTGTAATTATGGAGAAGCCACTGAGTGGTCCACCTGCTCAAGGACTATCTATTCCAGTCATCGGTGCAAGTAGGTATCAAAGCTTTTGTTGTTAATCCTTCTGCTCTATATGTGATTACTAAAATGTCTTTCTTTCCCCCTCTCTTTCAGAAGTTGACTCTATAGTAAAAGCTGTGTCGCCCCCAACTGTGTGCACCATTCCTACTGTAGTAGGACGAAACGTCATTCCCCGAATCACCACATCCCATAACCCTGCTCAGGGGCAACCACACCTAAATGGAATGTCCAGTATGGCAAAGAATGGCACACCCAAGAGATCGCACTCCCCATCCATCGATGCGTCTTCTAAGAGGTTGAAAGATAGAGAAAAGGTATTAATCCTTTAGGATACACTGAAACGAAAAATTGGCTATCAATTTCAGTTTGTTTTTTTTTTTTTTTTGCTATAATTTCTTAATGTTCCACTAGATTGTTGGCTAGTTAAAAATAAGAGAGCAAAATAATATTTACAGAAACATTAAAGAACTTATACTAATTTTAGACCGTGGATGAGATGAATTGATTCAGTGACTGGGGTAATGGAAGTAGATGAGTCAGAGACATTAAGGTTGGCACAGGACAGAACAGGGTTTAATGCTGTTGTACATGGGGCCGTTGTGAGTAGCAAGCTACGCAATGGCACAACAACAACAAATGCAAATTAATTTGGAAGTTTGAATGTTTTCCATTTGTTTTTTCACACAGAAGTCATAATTGATAGGTAAATAATGCTATTTATTGTGTTGGAATATTGATTCCTTTTTGCCTCCAGTAGATGGTGGTAAAACTGTATCGTAGGTGTTAGAATCTGAACTGATTTAACCAAAAAGATCATTAAAACGCCAGAAATTAAGTGTGCCAGTTGAGTTCTATAATTCTGTCCCTTGGGCACCCTTGTTTGTAATAGTTAATCAGTGATAGCTTAGTCACCAGCTAGTCTACAGTTTATACGTGTATATAGTTGGAAAATAATAGTAGTTCCTTTTAATGTTTGTGTTTTAGTTTATTCATCTTGAATCAACATTTAAGGACTCTCGTGCTGCTGAAGAGAGAAAGAGAAAATCAATGGTAAATATATTCATTTACTTCAGATTCTATTTACTTTTATAGAGTCATGATTATGAAATATACTGTATTTAGAAGATTTAGAAATGTACCATATTTAGAAGGTAGGTTAAAGTTATGTTAGATTCTGGTTCTGTTTTATATCATGTAGGAATTAGTTGGCCATAGTATTTGCATATAGATAGAAAGTTCTCACTTATATATTGTTGTTCTGCTCTTAGGAGTCCATTGGAGGAGAATCTATGCCTATTCCAATTATTGATACATTTCGCAAAAAGGTAATGAATTGTATTCTATAAAGGTAAAATACATATGCAAGGAGCTTATTTAAGAACTTGACACAAGGCTTATTTTCACTCATTAAAACAGAAAATACTTCTCACTGCAGCTTACTCCTTCCTTGCCATGTTCCCCGAGTAATCTGACCTAAAAAAAACTGTGCAAAATGCAGAGTATTCTCAAAGCTTGTAGAGTTTCTCTTTACTAACACAAAAGCAAGTTAAAAGGAATAGAGATAAATAATTATGAATTAGAATGGAAGGAAAAAAGATATTTAAGGAAATAACATTTGAATTAACCATGTTTGGAGGATGAAAGTTAAAGAGGTATAGCAAATAAACATGGCAAAATTTTTTTTTACATTTAAATTTATTATTAATTTCAGTAAAAATTTACAGAGGCTTTGGATTTCCATTCATTCATTGTTGCAGGCAAAATTTTAATAACAGCTGACTCCTGAGTATGGCATCTCAGACTTTATTTTGTAATTTATGATGTCATTGTAATTTTGTATGATGTCAGTATTTGTTTAGTGAGGAATATTAACTTCTGGAGCCATCTTTATTATTAAATTTTATTAGTTTCAATGAACATTCACAGGGATTCTGGGCTTTCACTCCTTCATTGCCGCACCATTCTCTCCACCCTCCTCCCCAGTTTGTTGTTCTTCCCTGCCATCCGAATGTCTGTTTTAATTGTCCAATTGCCACAGTGCTTGTCAAAGCCAGTTCTGATTAATCTCCTTTGTCGGTGTGTCCTTTGCCATTCCCTATCACTCCTCCCTGAGAGACACTTCACCCTGAATGGAGCCATCTCTTGACAAAAAAATTTAATGAACTGTTTCCTTCACATAACTTTTCTATTTTAAACATTTCTCTACTTTTCAGTTTTTTGCACTTTCTTGTCTTAGAATCATTCCTGTCCATAGAACCCGGTACACAGATGTCTTTGAGCTTTTTTTTTTTTAAATTTCCAAGTTACTTGGACTCAGAACAAAATTCCATTTTCCTGAGAACGTATATGTTTCATAAGTTGGGTTACAGTTTTCTTCTCTATGAATGTGCTCCAGCATCTCATTCATTATCCTCAGAATACTGAATTTGCCTCTCTGATACAGCTTTCTCCTCTCCCACCACCTGCTCCCTACAAGCTTCTTGTATAGTAACATGTCTTCCTACTTTATTTTACAATTGCATGACTTTAAGGACTGTGACTTCTAAATTTCTCCAGAAGTGGCAGTAGAGTTAATTAGAAATCCTCTTATATACACTGTATTCTGTCCTTCCCATTTCATTCTACTCTGTACTTCTGGCTTTAACAAAGTTCCAGAAGCAGGAGATGTCTCTGAAGTTAGAGTCCTCAGCACACTAAGAATGTCTAGGGGTTAAGAAATTTTACTGGATGGACCTTTATATTTACATGCATTTCTTTTTTTCCTGTTTTGTTTTTGGTTATTTTTGTGGTTTGTTTTGGTTTTGTTTTTTTTTTCTACTAGCGACTACCCAGTAAAGAACTGCCAGACTCCTCGTCTCCAATTCCAGCAAATAATATCCGAGTTATCAAGAATTCCATTCGACTGACCCTCAATCGGTAAAAGCAGTGCTGCCTCACTTGTGTGAACATGCAATCATTTAGTGGCATAGAACCAGCCATACTTTAACAAGTAGAAGTGGCTGCATACATAATATGGTGAAAGTTATAGTCATCAACCTCATAACCTTGAAGTGGTTGTGAACTCTCACACTTTGACCAACAGATGCTGTAGCAATCTCTGGCTACACACACTTTTTCTGAAGATCACCTGCTGTTAAATTTTCACCCATATTCTATGGCTTTGCATTGGGAGGTTTTACTGCCTTAACTTTCAATGCTTATTTCTCTGTTATGGAAACCAGTTTTTGGT